CTTGACAAGCTGTATTGCAGTATATTCTCAGTTTGACCTACGTTTTAAATGAATATTCATGTTCACACTCACACCTGGGTTCTCCATCCTGCCAAACAACACAGATCATAAGCATTATTTTACATGTACACCAACTGCAGTTAGGGCAATAGTCAGTCACTGCAAGTAATTTGAAATTAAGAAAGAAATTAAAAAGTAAGGTATCATCGAAAAGCATGAAAATGTAAAGACTGTCTTGATGGTCTCTATAAGAGAATGAATGAATGAATGAATAAATAAATATGTTTTAATGAAAAATAGTATTTATTTCTGGGTAATCTCAGATGAACACACATGGATCTGCATGCAAATAGCTCTTGGGCCTAAACAGCTATTTTTGTTACATGTTTTCAATGTGAAATTATAGAACAGACCTGACTTAAAATAACTACATAAATAAATAAATACTGGGAAATTAAGCATTTTGTTCATAGTAATTTTATTGGTGCTATCCTGCTGTTTAACTGACTTTTCAAATTAGAGTCATAATCACTTACTGATGCAAGGAGAGATCCAGGCAGACAAAGTCTTTCAATAAAAGTGTAGCTCACACACATATAAACACACATGTCCCATATGGCTCCACCTGACCAGGGGAAGGTAATATGGGGATTTCATATGAAATCCTCTTTTCTCACATACACCGATACACATTCGCATTCCCCCCATTCCAGGTGGGCAGCACAGACGCACAACCCTTCCCCCGTCCTGAGGGATAAGACTGAGGTAGAATTCCTCCGACAGCACTTTTACCTTGCCTAATCGCTCCCCCTTCCCAGACCCTCTCAGTCCCCACCTCACACTGACCCATCCCAATGGACGAGAGGGCACTTTGCCAGCTGAACCCTGAGAAGGTTTTAGGATGACAGAGAAGCTCAGGAGATTTATCCATTGACGCTTTCATGTGTGTCCATGTCAGTGGTCGCTGGAGCTCCTCGTATGTGGCCCTGGATGGAGAGAGGGACAGCTGTAGGCAGAGAGGACACATGAGATCAGGCAGAGCAGCTGTAGCCACAGTCAAAGGTGTGCAGGACAGCTTTATCTGTTTCAGATGGGGAAACATACGGCCAGAAATGCCCATTCTGGTTCACCTAACAGCATTCAAGTGGCTAATATGGTCCCAGATTGATAGATGACAAGAAAAGCAGGATCCACCTAGATTAAAGTGTTGACCTACAAACGGTTCTCTATCTGTCCATCCGTCCATCCGTCCGTCCATCCGTCCATCCCTCTATCTATCTATCTATCTATCCCTCTATCTATCTATCTGTCCGTCCTTCCCGCTATCTATCTGTCTGTCCATCTGTCCCTCTATCTATCTATCTGTCCGTCTGTCCCTCTATCTATCTATCCGTCCCTCCCTCCCTCCGTCCGTCCATCCGTCTATCTATCTATCTATCTATCTGTCCGTCCTTCCCTCTCTATCTGTCTGTCCATCTGTCCCTCTATCTGTCCGTCTGTCCCTCTATCTATCTATCTATCTATCTGTCCCTCCCTCCGTCCATCCATCCATCCATCCATCCATCCATCCATCCATCCATCCATCCATCTATCTATCTATCTTACCTGTCTATTAGATCAATCTAATAGAATGTAAAATAATAATAATTTCATTCACTCAAGAATTAAATATTACACATAGGAAAGGAATGTAGGAATGTTTATCTGGCCATTTTCAGGCATCTATTAGATCAATCTAATAGAATGTAAAATAATAATAATTTCACTCACTCAAGAATTAAATATTACACATAGGAAAGGAATGTAGGAATGTTTATCTGGCCATTTTCAGGCATGCTGACACAAAATATTTAATTATTAAATATTGCAGTCACCTCACAAGTTTTTCACCAATAGTTTCTTGGTGTAGCTGACTTTTTCAAGCAAACCCTTGTGTATGCAGTGTCCCAAGTGCAGCGTGGAAACTGTGGTCTCTTGCATGGACAGCTGATGGAGGGATGGGGGGCGCCTGCCAGGACTGCTTTCCTGTGGGTTTAAAAAACAAGCCATTCCCCACCTGTGTCACAGCACAGGACTGTGGCCTTACCTCTGCTCTACCTCCATCCGCCATCTGGAACAGTCAGTGTGGGCAGGGGGCGAACTGAGGCCACAGCCTAGGACCGACGACTCAAAAAACAGCTTTATACAGAAATCCTGTGCACTTTGTCCAGTGAGATCAAGAAATAGTCAATGTCAGTGACGCCCAGGTGATACCTGGCCAAACACTGAGTTTCCACAGCAGCTGTGGTTAACATGCTGAAAAGTGCAGAGGTCTGATATGAGAATTACCCTGGGCCCTTATGTACTTAATGAAGAGGAACGGAAATGAGACATAAAAAATGAATAATTTTTTGAAAGATTTTTTTTAAAATAAGAGAATAATAAAAATGAAAAAAGTTTTAAATTTATATACAATGAATTACTTGCCTTTCTCTGTAACTTGCTCAAAAGCCTTATTTCCCATCTCTGAAAACGTATTGTTCACAAAATTTTATTGTCAATACAGTGCCCTCTGTCACTATTTCCTGATGTAAACGATGGCTATGGTTTTGATGACAGTGATTGAAAATGCACAAGGCTACACTGTAAAAAAAAAAAATCTGTGATATTTACGGTAAAATACCGGCAGATGTGGTTGCCAGAACTTCACTGTAAAAAATATGGTAGCAACATTTTAGGTTTTACAGACTTAACTTAAATTCACAATAAAATACCGTATTTCATTAACTGATGTAATGTTAATAAACCAACATATTGAAGTACTAATATCTGTTTTGAACCATTGTAATGCACTGATAACCACCAAAAACTGGTGGTGATGAGAAAGTCACATGATGAACCAAAACTCATCACAAACAGCTTTTCTACGAGCTGAGGAGGGCAGTACTTATATATAGAAGGTGCACAGTGTCATTCACACTAACACTAAACCCCATAATGGTGAATAATGCAATAAACATTAATTTAACAACATTAGATGTAAGATTAAACCCTAATGTACACAACTGATAAGAAAAAAACTAAGAAACATGTTATTTCAACAACAAAAAAAACATCAAATATGAAGTGTCATGCAGGGAATCATGCAGCTTTTCCACTTCCAATAACCGTATTTTAACAGTATTTTACTGTAAAATTACATTCACCGAATATAGTATGGAAACTTACTGTTAACTAGTTAACAGGTTTTTACTGTAGCATTTTTACAGTCTTTTACTGTTAAAATCGCAATCATTTTTTACAGTGTATACTTTTTCTGTATGGCATATATTTCACCAGTGCAATGTTACTTAGCTTACTTATTGATTGCAAGAGATTGGACAGGATTCACTTTTATGCTTTTACTGTTGGTCTCTTAACAAATTTCAGTAAACGTAACTGCGCTACAAAAAAAATAGATAAGACTATTTTACAGCACAAGGGGGAAAAAAGTAAAGGTAAACATGGGACAAATAAGGTAAACCCCCTTAGGCAGATATCATGCAGCACTGTTTGGGGAATGACTACACCGTATGTTAAGCCACAGATTCTCATCCATATCTTCCTGTGCAGTGCATTGCTGAAATAATCGAATGCTTCACCTTTCTCCACTTTATTTGAAATATTCATCAATTCAGGACACATTTATATGAAAATTCTAATAGAAATGTATAGAAAATATGAGTGACAGATAATGACATTTCATTTAACCATTTTGCATTTGGTGTTGTGCTGTCATTTAGTGTTATTACTGATTGTCACTTTAATATAACTAAGCTTTCTTTTACAAACATATATGGAGAATAAATAAATAAATAAATAAATAAAATATTAACATAGAAACTTGCCCTTACAGCAACATTTTTTTTCAATCTTCTCTGTTAAAGTGTTGCAGTTCCAAATCTGAACACTCTAATTTTTGGCACAGTTTCCCCAAAACCTCAGTGGGAAGTATTTTGTGGAAAAGGGACATTTGTTGTTAGAAGTCCAGACACATTCAGTTATGATGTAATCCGATTTTAGCAGTTCATATTTCAGCATAATAATAAAAGGCAGTTCAGAATTATTAAATAGGCTAGTCATTGAAATAACAATCATTATTTTCCTTGGTATCAGATTTATGACTCCCCCTGTTTTATTTTATTATTTATTTATTTTTCTTTTTTTTACACACAGCGAAAAAACTAGCACAAAATACAACAACATACAAGGCTTACCTGGACTTTCAATACAATTCATAATCTGTAGGCCAGGTCCATGTGCTCGTGGGTTTATATAACATTGATCACATTTAGGCTACTTACACGTAATTGTTCTGATTTATGTCCATCGGTGATTTTTTTGTATTATTTATATAATATTTATTAATACAGTTTTTAGTTTTTATTTTAATTTTAGTTTAAACTGTAGTAATTTTGTTAGGTGCTTTTTACGGCTTTTGTATTTAAATATTTCTATTTAGCTTTAATTTATATCTGTCAGTTTTAGTTAGGTCGCATTGCCAAGACAACATTTCCGATTTTTCTCATATATATATAATATAACTTTAATATATATATATATATA